CAAAAAAAAAAAATGTATGGCACATCTGATAAACTATGAAGCCACTGGGATTAAATAATCAAGATTTTCCAATGGCTACAATTGAATTAGTTCCGCCAAAGTAGCTGTATTTATACTCTTTAAGAATAGTGAATTAGTTTTAACTTATTGTTTTCATAATGATCATGGACTCCCTATTGGCTAGAATAGATTTGATTTAATTGTAACTTTTATAGTTCATCTTTCACAAAATCCTGATAGAAAATTAAGTGAAGATATACCTAAGGTATGGTTCACCTCTACAAGGCAACCTAAGGAAAAGATTCCACATAAAGAGGTCTTGAATTTTCCTAAGATTTAGGCAGGTAGGTGAGGGAACTCAGCAAGCCAGGGATATCCTACTGTAGTAGAGCAACTGATGAATGTGAGACTGCAGACCTGGGGCCAGGACAGCTCATACATCTCGATCTGTATCATTTCTCACACTGCTGAGCTGTGACAAGCTGAAGAGACTGATACAAGTTACCCAAATATTGTTCTGTCCCTAGCATTATATTACCCAGAGTGTCTGTAGATGTGACAGGAATCTAAAGATAAGAGCCAGCACAACTGAAAGAAAATGCATTTACAAATATAATGGACCTTTAAACATAGTCTGGTCATACTCAGAAAACTTCAAACACTACAGAGGCACACAGCAAAACCTGATTAGAGGCACATTGTTGTCTTTGACAAGGCTGCTATTTTTTGGTTTAGTAACAAAAGAAAGAATTGGCTCCTCTTTGCACAGCAAGCGAGAAAGCTGAAGCAGAACAGCCATCTCCGTGAGAGTTAAGTTCAGGAGCCTAAAAGCTCCCTGTGACGATGACAAAAACCTTCTGAGCCTTATCCTATCGCTGATGTCTAAAATTTCACCAGTGGTAATTCATTCCGTCAGGTTATTGTTTCCTCTATTGAAACACACACACACTAGTGTGCTACTTCAGTGTTATCATTTATTACTTATTGATACTCCATTAATTTGACATTCTTCAGTGCACCTGTCCGCTGCAAGTAGATCCCTGGAAGGAGAATTAGATTTAAAGTGATGGTTTCAAGGTGTTCAGGAAATGATCTACAGCCTGCATTGAACACGTAGGATTGCAGCTAAACTGAGATGTTGTGTTTGCTGTCACGGTGTATTGCCTGCAGCCTATGCCTTGAATTCTTCTTCCGTCTATAATAAAAATTAATTCATGAGCTTGTCTGTCTTCATCCCACCCTGGTGCTCCAGTTTGTGCTTTGATCAGGACGCAGCAGCTCCTTTCCAGCTGGACCTTTGCTGCTAGCCTCACCCCTCTAGTGCCTGCTCCACACTGTGCCAAAGTAGCTTCATAATGTTTGGGTTTGATCGGGTCATCCACGGTTGAAACCCTTCACCTGCTGCCTGTTTCCTTTGGGGATAAAATTAAAATCTGTAATGTGATATCTATTTATAAAAATGATCTGATAGCTGTTAACCTTTCAAACAGTGTCTTCTCTCCATGTCTTCCCAGTCCTTCATTGAAAATCAGGGCTTTTTAAATTAATATGCCATCTTGGCTCATACTTGAGGCAAACATGCATAAAGCCACTTGACCAACTATGCTTTCTCCCCCACGTTTTACCACTAGAGGTTTACTGTGCTCTGGTATTCAGTTTCTAGAGAGATAGAGTTAGAAAAGGCCAATAGTCCTCCAGTTAAAGGAGTCAGGCATGATTGATTTAAATCAGAATCAACAAACTTTCTCTACAAAGGGCTAGATAGTAAATATTTTGAGTTTTATGGGCCAAGAGACACATTTAAGGACTTTATGTAGGTCCCTGAATAAAAGCAGAGAAATTTTCATAAATTTTTGTTGAAAAAATTGCAATAAAAATAAGTACAGTTTTAATATAGATTGACTAATGAAACAAATAACTTTTGGAATGGGCAAGAGATCTGCTTAATAGTGTTTAAAGTTATTTTTCCTTATTACCTATGGAGTTGCAAAGCAACTGCTGTAAAATTCCACAAAGCAGCTCTGGAGTAGCCCTTGGTATACAACCATGGGCTCCAGTTCCTTTTGCCAGCAACTGATTTAGGCATGAACATGTTTCCCACGCCTGTCAAGCAGAATCAAAGGGAGAGTCTTCTCTATGCTTCTAGAAAAGCAGAGCTAGGAGAAAATGCCCCTTTTCTTTCACTGATGCGGTACATCTGCATGGACACCCCTGGTGGAATTCAGTTGTTGTCAACCCACTAAAAAGCGCAAAAGACACAGATGGAAAGGAGATGGAGCATAATAGAGTTGTGCAGTTGGCAGTGAGTTAGAGTATCTTGCTTTTCATCTTCTTGTCATGTGAAAAAAATAAGTCACTTATTATATAAATTCCACTTAGTCATAGTTTCTGTTACTCATAACTCAAAGCTTTTTAACTGATCCAACACCTCTATTCCTGGAAGTCTAAAATTAGTTTCCCCTGGAAGGTGAATAAACCTCCACTCCTTCCTTTGTGGCTGTGTTCAGATAACACACAGATACTTTTCCAGAAAGTTTTTGCTTAGTTCTGTGGGCACCTTCCCTAAACTTAGGCTTAATTGGCCGCTGACCCTTAGCTGTTTCCACAGCACTTTGCACAGCACTTTTTCCCTCTCGCATTTCTCTCTTGTATTTTTGTATACACATCTCCCTAGGACCCAAATTCACCCAGACTGCAAGCAGCTCCAGTCCAGCAACTAGCTCCTCATAGCCAGCATAGTATCTGGTACTTGCTGAAGAATAAATTTGTAAAATAACAAAATGAATAAATAAACCTTTTTACCCTCCAAGAGAATGTACTACAGATGGAAAGACAGAGGCATGCACAATATTCTATGGGCACCTTCTGGTATTAGGAATTGAAAATGGTGTTTTTTGCTCTTCTGCTGGGTTTTTAGTGTTTCTGGTTAACCAAGTTAGATCTTGGGCTACTGACTACACTGACTACAAGAGATTCAGAAATCCATTGTGCCATGTTACTGCCAACTCCAAAGTTCTTGTCCTTCCCAGAACTTTCTGTTATGTTAGGAATCTGCTGTCTTACTTTTATTTTTTTCTAACGATGTGATTTAGAGCATCTCAGCCTGGACTGCCATCTGCATTGAGCTGCTAAGCAGGAGGATGGCTAGCTGACCACCTGCCTGCTGCATGCCTCTCTGTGCTTCTCATTTCAGAAAGTCATTCTGAGACTCATCTGAAGCCATACCCAACGTGCCCAGTGCTTGCCTCATCTAGCTATGCTTTAATCGCCACTTGTCCTCAACACGGCCATATGCCACGTTGTGAACAGCAGTCGTGAGGCATACTCCCTTCTTCATACCGAATGGCACTGTGAGCCCTGATGGTTGGTTCACCGCGTCCACCCTGGAGGAGAGAGCAGGGTAGCAACTATTCTAGGAAATGCAGCAGTAATTTGCATAATCACCACGATGCTTTTGTCATTCCATTGCCCTCATTTGCTGAACTCTAGTGCCAAATAACAAACAAGGTCCATTTCCATACCGTCTCTGAATAATAATTTTTTGAGAAAGCTTTGACATTGTGCATCTACTTCTCTCTCTCTCAAAAGAGAAAATACCATTTTTCTAAGTGGCCTGGACACTGGGGTACATCACTCCCCACTGCTTACTGACCATTGAAACAGTGCTTACATTTGAGCAATGAAATTTTAATAATGTGAGTTTTCTTTAACATGGATCTTAGTATTCAACCTCCCTGTCTTTTATGGAGAATGAGTTCTGTACAGAATATTTCCTGGGAGCCACCAAATTCATTTTCCTCCTCCAGCTTCTGGTGTCTTCTGATGAACTCCAATGTTTCGGTTTGGGTTTGAGCCCCTCCAACACCTGGCTCTGATCTTATGTGAAACTTGCTGTGGGTTGAATGGTTTGTTCCCCCCAAACTCATACTGGCACTGGGTCCCCAGTCCTGAAGCTGGAGAGCCTTTGGAGAGGTATTCAGGTCACGAGAGGAGATTGATCCATTTCTCTGAGGAGTGAGTTCCTGCTCTCAAAGGACTGTATCAGTTACTGGGAAAGCAAGTTGTTCTCAAGTGATTTCAGTTTTCCAGGCAATGCCTCTGGCTTTCCTTCCTTCAGTCTCTGTCACAAATCCTCACCTTCCTTCTGCTCTTCTGCTGCGAAACCTTTGAGATGAGAAGAGGCTGATGTCACATTCTTAGCCTTCCAGAACCTCGAGCCAGAATTCCTTCTTTCCCGTGTAAGTTATTTGACACAGGTTTCAGCCATAGCAAAAAAAAAAAAAAAAAAAAAAAAAAAAAAAAAAAAAAAAAAAAAAAAAAAAAAAAAAAAAAAAAAAAAAAAAAAAAAAAAAAAAAAAAGTGGACTGAGACAAGCCTAATTTCTTTACTCCTACAGACTCATATGCTCAATTATCCATTATTTGCCTTCGGTGAAACACCCTATAAACACTTCAAACTCATCATATTTAGCATATCATTTCATCAAACTTTATTCTTCAAACTATTATTGTGTCTCAAGGGAGAACTTATTGGCTAGTTACCCAAAACACCCTAAAAATAATGATAGCTTAGTTGAGAGCCAGGCACATTAGAAGCTTTATTTCACTGGATTTTAAAGAAGTATAGTACCTGTGATATTTTTTTGTTATCCCAAATGAATATGTAAGGACTTGGACTTAGCTGGATGAAAATATGCATTTCACAAGCAGAAAATAGAGTAAGTAGGGATTGAATCAGGTTGCTCTGACCCCTAAACCTCTTTTCATAACGGCTGTGCCGATTTAGAATGCTTGAACCACTCTTTGCTTTGTCCTCACAGAAATCATTCCTGTCTCATTATCTTTTCACACTTACTCTGCACAAAGCCGTCCGTGCAGGGTCCACACAGCACATGTTCCAGTCCATTTCTCTGCATAGCACAAGGATCTAGGTGGCTCAAGGCTAAGACCCATGAGAGCTCCTGGTGGAAAACTCTGTGGCTCCTAAAATGGTTTCTTAAAACGAAATGGTTTAGATGTTCCTACATCCTTATTCTAAACATGCTCTTGTCTGGGTTAATGTGAATATATGTATTTTTTGGTTTCTTGCAATTTAGTAAATATCAGATGTCCAAGTTATTTATTTATCCTACTTATTGTTTATTTATTCTAGGTAACAAACCACCCCCTACACGACGGTGTTAAATGATAGTTTTGTATTAGTCACGCTCGTGGTCTTTCGTCAGGAGTTTGGCCAGGATACTGCGGCCCATCTGACCCTGCTACACAGGGCCCAGCTCCCCACATGGGCCCAAGGAGTGGCTGAGCAGCTCATACCCCACCCCCAGAGCTGTTCTTTACCGGTGCATTCCCACGCTTTTTATAACTTCCTGTCTGACTTAGAATTGAGGTTTTTATAATGATTCTATGTTACTCCCTTTACGGAATCATTTTTTATACCCTATAACTTATAGCAAACTTCTTTAGTTAGTCAGTTGTCCCTGAAATTGTCACCCAGCTCAAGGATCTGAAGTGCTGTGCTTCCCACTCTCCCCCGCACCCTTGTTCCATCGGTGCGTTTAATTTACTGCTCATGTATTGGATGCTCAGACCATCTTGCCATTACTTTTCCTTTAAATTGTCTGTTGTCTTTTAGACTTCTTGAGCTGAGAAATAAAAACATATGTTACCTTTAGTCTAATTCCATTATATTTATTTGTGTATATTCAATTTCCTGTCTTAGGTCATGCTTCTTCTCCTCAAAGAACTTTATTCAATAAATCTTGTAGAACTAGGAGGCAGAGCACATGTTTAGTATGTGTAAGGTCCTGGGTTCAATCCCCAACATTCAAAATTCAGTATACAGGCATTATGTATGTAATACATATGTATGTGTGTTAATGTATATCTGCTGGTAATGAATTTAGTTTTTATCTACATCTGCTTTTTAAAAGGTATTTTTACTGAGTATAAAACTATAGACAGACAGCTGTACTTTATTCTTTAGTACATTAAAGATATAATTCCATTGTCTCAATGCTTTCATGGTTTCTCAATAGAAATATAAATTTTTATCTCTGTTCTTGCCTATGTAATGTTACTTTCATGTTTGTCCTCAAGATTTTCTCTTTCACTTTTAGTTTCATGAGTCTGGACAAAATACACTGATATATGCAGTTCTCTTTTGTGCTTGTTTTATTTTGTGTTGTCTTTTGTTGCTTTCCTGTATCATGTTCTTTCAGATTTGGGATCTGTTGTTTGGTATCATTAGTTTCAGAGAATTCGCAGTTATTATTTTCTCCATATTTCAAAGGTATCCCTCCGTTAAGATCTCTTTTTCACTTCTGGGATCCTAGTTACATGTGTGTATACTGCTTGCTTTTTGCCCTAGTGCTGTGGATCTCTATTTTTGCCTCACTGTTTCATTTCATGTTTTGTGTGTTTCAGTTTGGCTAATTACTTCTGAAATGTTTTCAAGTTCACTGATTCCTTCATTGGCTGTGTTGAGTGTACTCATGAACACTTTGGAAGCATTACTTACCTTTGACACTTTTTAAAACATAAATCTGTAATTTTAATTTTCACTTCTGTTTTCACCTCGGCCGAAATTGTCCATTTGATTTTTCATGCAGTCTTCCATTTCTGTTGGTGTCTGGAACATATTAATCATAGTTATTTCTAATTCTCAATTACATACTTCCAACTTTTGTGACTTATATGAATTTGGATGTGTTTTGGGTGTGTCTTTTCATATATAAAATTTGTCCCAAGAATGGTACAAATTCCCATCTTCTAGACATTTAGTGTGCGGGTTTCAGGTAGACTGGACAAAATTCAAGGTGGTTCTCTGAGGATAAGGTTAATGTTTGGCTGAGTCAGGAGCACTGCACCCATCTCTCGTGAGAAAACTCCGAGGCCTGTTAGTGCTGGAATAATCTGCCCCCTCGGGTGTGTAGAGATCTGACCTTAGACAGATAAACTGTTCCTCTCAAAAACCTCTAAAGTCCTGACTTATTCGCCTCAGCCCCTAAAGCACACAATCCAAAAACTAACATGTGGCCAATAACAATGTGCCAAATATCCCGACTCCACCCTGGCTCCACCCCTGCCTTACCCTGTGTAAGTCTGTACATTTTCTCAATAAAATGGAAGCGTCCCAGAAACCTCCCTGGAGTCTGCATGGTGATTCCACACCTTGCCCTCCCAGTCCAGGTCCCTGAACCTTGTTCTGAGAGCTGGCTCGCTGACGAAAACAACAAATGGAACCGAGGACTCCCATATACTGGGTAAATATTGAAGATGTGGGAAAGGATCCCTCCTATTATAGGTGATGTCATGAGTTAAGAACGGCCGGTACAGGCTGCCTTAGCAAAGGTCCTCATGCCGTAACGGCATCCGAGGCATTTCCAGCCCAAACTCAGGTGAGTGTAGGGCCCCCTGAGTGTTCTAAAAGTGGCGGACAAAGCCTCTTACAAAAGATGGTGCGGGCGGGCTGCCTCTTCTGCTTTCTCCTTCCCCAGAGGTGTCAGCCCCGCCCGCTGCTCTCTCGGTTCCTGTCAACGACGTGCCCCACTAGAACCCCTGTCCCTGTAGAACGGTCATCCGGAAGCGCTGCCGCTCCCGGCCCAAGATGGCGGCCTCCACCCTGTGCGCCGCCATCTTACTTGTCTGATGAGCAAAAACAATCCTTTGATTGGGCCTTGGCACGGCTTCAGGGTCCTTGGCCTCTGGGCTGCCCAGCCTTCTCCTCCAAAGCCCAGCCCAGCCCAGCTGAGAGCTCCAAAAAGTTTTGGAGTGGAAGACCTGCAGCTTCGGGGTGCTGGGGCCTGCTGATCGGGGAGGGGAGGCTGGTCGGCAGCCGAGTCAGACAGCTAGCGGTGCCTAAGGTCCTTTTGTCTTGCCGGCCTCCACCGTCCCTGCCTCCCACTGTGGATGCCGTCTCCCCAGGCCTTAGGGCCCAGCGGGCCGAGAAGGCTGCGAGCCTGGGGTTGAGGATGGCGGGATGGGGGCTGCCTGTCTCTGGGTGTGGCCCCGGGGGCTGGCTGCTCCCTGGCCTGTGGCTGCTGGCACTGAGTGGTCCGCCCAGTAATAGCCTTCTTGCCGCGGAGCCTTTGATCTCTGCTTTGTCCTGGACAAATCCGCAAGTACCTAACCCCCCTATCCCTGTCTTGTTCTGCCTTCCCCTTTCATGTTAATTTTCCTATATCCCACAGCCATAGAAGGGTCAGCTATGCAGACCCTTTGGGAATGATTCTCGATTTGTGGGCCTCAAGCCAACCGATGTCACCCCAATTTTTGCTTGAGCCCTTGTGTAAACCCCCTTTTCTTTAATCATTCCTCTGTTTGGTATCTATGTTTAGCTAAAACGCCTCCCGCTCTTTGACTTCCAGTTAATCTTACAAAAGATTGGCAGAGTTTCAGATCCACTCTTTAACCTTATGCTTCTACCCTGCAGTATGAAAGATTTTGAAATTTCCGCCCTTATTACTGTCATCGTTTCCATGGTGGCAGCTATTTCCGCCACAACAATGGCAACAGTCACCTCACAATCAAGTGGGGACAGCAGCAATGGTCAACCAGCGAACAAAAAACATCACCCAAGCCTTCAGAAAGACCGCCCTGCTAGTTCAAGATGTCTGCGCAGCCATACTCAATTTACAAATCCAATTAAACTTGGTTTGGGAGGAATTAATACCCAGGTGTTAGATGTTGTAACTTTAAATAATGTGTGGGCTACCATTTGGTCAAAAATTCAGGCTGGATGGAATACTTTGAGTAGTTGGATACGTGGATTGATACTGGGATGCCCATATATATTAACCTTGTTTGGCGTATTGTTATTCTTTATTTTAAATATCAGACATGCCAGTAACGAAATCATAAAAATGTGGTCCTTTTGGCTGAGGCTCTGGAGTCAAAAGGGGGAACTGAGGATCAGGTTAATGTCTGGCTGAGTCAGGAGCGCTGCACCCATCTCTGGTGAGAAAAATCCAAGGACTGTTAGGGCTGGAATAATCCGCTCCCTTGGGTGTGTAGAGATTTGACCCTAGACAGATAAACTGTTCCTTTCAAAAACCTCTAAAGTCCTGACTTACTCGCCTCAGCCCCTAAAGCATACAATCCAAAAACTAACACGTGGCTAATAACAGTGTGCCAAATATCCCGACTCCACCCTGGCTCCACCCCTACCTTACCCTACCCAATAGCAATCCAATAGCGCCACCCTGGCTCCACCCCCGCTTTAATCTATATAAGCCTGTGCATTTCCTCAATAAAACGGAAGCGTTCAAGAAACCTACCCGGAGTCTGCGTGGTGATTCTGTGCTTTGCCCCCAAACCCAGTCTAGGTCCCTGGGGTCAAAAGCAAGAGTTCTCACTGTGGTTACACCCAGCCCCCTTTGCATTCCTGTGCTGATATCTATGCTCAGGCAAGGACTGACTTGCTACATTAGTATCTGTGCAACTCTGCTCTAGAGATTTGCCTCTGCATGTGTCTGTTGTGCACTATTTTTGCTGAAGCTTGTGTGCTCCATGGTGGTGATGGTGGTGTAGGATTTAGTCTTCCTCAGCCTGGGGCTGAGCTTAATTCTGCCCTTCTTGGCTGTGTGGTCTCAGCATTCTGCCCACCATCCTCCGGGAGCTGTGTTTCCTGTTCTCTTCCCTCCTCAGTGCCAGTTGCACACACCTCCTTCCTCCTCCTGGGGTTTGTTCCATATGAGATGATGAGGTAAAGGGCCAAGGGAAGTTTCCCCTCCTGCAGAGTGCTTTTCTGTCCCTGGGTCTGCACCCCAACCAGCATCTTCTCTCATCAAATACTAGCACTTGGTATGATTTATGCGAAGGAGTCCTGCAAGAGGGCATGGATGCCCTGACTTCTACAGCTCTCCTGGCTGCTGCACAGGCCTGCCAACTGGTCCTGGGCCTCGTCAGGTTCTTCTTCTTGGTGTCCAGTGGCACCTGGTGAGTGAGTGTGTGGTCTGCTCTCTCCTGTTGAGTATTGGTCTCTCACCAGACTGGTTGCCTTGTAAACTCAATTTTCTGATAGATCATAAAGAACCACGCATTTGATGTTATTCCACAAATTTTTTGGTTTTTAAAAAAATTTTATTTATTTTTTTGGTTTTTGAGACAGGGTCTCACTATGTAGTTGAGACTGACCTGAAACTCACTGTGTAGACCAGGCTGTTCTGAAACTCACAGCGATCCTCCTGCCTCAGCCTCCCAAGTGCTGGGATTACAGGCGAGTGCCACCATGCCTGGCATTTTGTTTGTTTTAAAAGTGGTAGTGATGTTCTTTCCTGCTTTCTACATCTTGGAGAGGATACCAGAAGTCCTTAATGAAATATTTTGCATTTTGAAAAAAATAATCAAGTTGTCAAAATCAATTTTTTAACTTTCAGCAAATTTCAGTTTGGATTAGCCCTGTTTCAGCAGCCACCTGGGTTGTTTCCATATTGGAGAGTGCAGTCCTAACCCTACAGCTGCTGACTATCTTGTAAATAATAGTCCTGATGCACCTGTAGCAAAAACAGTATAAACTGGGTGGCTTGCAAACCATGAGCATTAATTTACTGTAGTTCTGAAGGCTATGAAGTCCAATTATTAAGGCGCTGGCAGACTTGGCGTCTGGTCAGAGCTGTTGCTTGTAGATTGCATCCTACACCACAAAATGGTAAGAAAGGTCAACTCCCTCAAGCCGCGTTCCCAAGGATACTAATCTCAAAGAAGAGGGGTCCACTGTCTGATCTCATCACCTCCCAAAGAATCCTATCACCTAAAATCCTTAGGGTTGCAGTGTATGAATGGGAGGCTGCCCTCACACATTTAGCCTAAAGCATATACAAGGATATTAAAACTGATATTACTCAAACCTCTTCTATGGGAGTGAACAGTTGAAAGTTTGATATTGTGATGATTTTCATTACTGTTCTCCATATAGTTTATATGAGCCTGCTTGATTTGAAGAAAAGGAAACAAATTCTTTATTACCTTAAGCATAAACCTTACTTTATATTTGTAAACCTGCCATATTGGCAGTGTCACTCTACATAGTTGGGATAAAATTTGTCAAGTGTGTCTAAAGGAATTTTTTCTAGCACGTACTGTGATGCTTGTCTAAACCCAACATGTGATGCATTAAAGCATTACTTTAAAAATATGTAAACACTTTCATTTTCTTTATGCTGAGATCCTTGTAATATTCAACACCAAAATAACAATATTTGCTTTCAATCCATGAGAAGCAAGTCATAAGATAGTATGAATCAACTTGTTTTCTTGAATAGCAATACCAGCTCAACATTTCTTCAACAGAGCATTCAGGTTTGGCTATGCCAGATCTATAACAAGAATTTGAATCCCTAATGAGGAATTGGAGGAGAAATACTGAGGTCCATAATGTCAGAAAAGAGAGGTTGTTGGGCGGTATATTTCTTTTATTAAATTCATTATTTTCCCAGATAAACTATGTTCTTTCAGCTCATATGTTTATGTGAGATTTGTAACTCTGACCTAAAAACTTACTTGGTTATGATAAATCTTTGTTCACTTCACTTCATGTTCTGTGCTGTTTTCTGTCTGCATCTGTTTCCGTATGAGACACTTTCTGATGGAGACAAATAGTCAGCAAATCAGTTGCTCTAAGCTCCTCTCTCCCTTTCTCTCCCTGGGTGACTTCTAAATTCTGCTGTTTTGGTGATCAGCAATGCATCTTTATTACTTTTAATGGACAGTGATCCTACAAAGAGGAGGACATGCCCAGCCTCTTCATGAATAAACCTAAGTGCGATTTAGTTGAAAAATCAATACTTATGTTTTGGGATAGTTGTGAATCACAGAATCCAAGCCTGATGAGGAAGGGCCAATAATGGGCTATAAACCTTTCTAGTAATATTTCTCTCGCCAGGACCCACCCACAAAATAGCTCAGCTAGCAAATAAATCAGCATGAATTTGTGCTAAAGGCTAGGCTGTTAGTCTGTAGTAACTGCAGGCATGGTAATGCATGGTGATAAAAAGCTGTGCATTCCTTCTACATCTTTTCCTCAGCTGCCTTGGCCCCTGTACATACCCATGCATGACTAAACCTTGTAGATTGTAATATCTTCTGGATTTGTGCTACGATGCAGTGAATATAAAGAAAGAGTATGAGTAGGAGAATTGAAGAAAAAGTATAAATACCTTCTTCTTTTGAAGAATTTTGCTTAAAACTAAGCAAAAAGTAGATACTGGGTGAAGTATGATCATGGCTTGTGCATTAAGATGGAAGTAAATGCATTTTTGCACACTAATGAGGATGGTAACGGTAATGCAAGCAAGACAGAGTGAGAAAGAAAGTGGGGGGGCGGGGTGCTCGTGTCGCAGACGGGCTCCAGACTCGTACAGCTGAGCACAGTAACAGTGGAAGGACACAGTATGTGAGGTAGGCCATGGAAGGTGGCGGTCTTGGGTCTGAACCTTCCCACCCAACTGCTTCTGTGTACGGAGTGGCTGACTCAGCAAGGTGCTCGTCAGCCGAGAGGGAGGGAAGGGAGGCCATCATTAGGAGCTGAACATGAAAGAGAAGGCGTGAAACAGCCTTCTTAAAAAAAAAAAAAAGAAGACTAGAGAAACCAAGGATGGTTCTGCAGTGTGCCAGGCCCTTAGCGGTAAG